AAATTCTCTAGTCCCTGTGGTTGTGACATGCAATGCGAGGATGTACAACACTATGGGTTAACCTTATCTGTACTCAGTTCACCTTCCTACGGACAATAAAAAACAGGATGATAAGCAATCCGGACAACGTCATGATAGTCAATGGTTTTAAGACGTCCATAATATCGACGAAGCACGCGCGGAGATCGTCCATCCCTCGGGACCAAGTTTGTTTGCAGTCGCCGAGCTGTCGTACAAAGATTTCCCGTTGTCGACCCGCGTCAACCTTGGGTACCGTGCCCGCACAGTGGCAGTACTGGGACGCGTCATATCCGACGTACTCCACATCAAACCCCGGCACGTCCATTACTTCTACTTTCGTTTTGTAAGCACACATTCCAATATACACATCTTCCACGGGAAAATAGGGTGTGTCCGCAAATATAGCTGTTAGCGTGACTGCTGTCTCCCTCCCAATCAGATAGCCTGACCCGCTACAATATGGCGGGGAATGAGAACCTGAAATCTTCTTCAGCGTTTTATATTCTTGTGTATTCCTTGATCGATCATGGTTTACGAACCTGTGATAACAGTGTCCAACTATTATGTTCCTTAGGTCATATTTCTGCAGGATTTTGAAAATATATGGCACATTTATAAACACTTCAGTATCTGTTTTCATCACATATTTTATATGGGAACAACGTACAGTAAACCAACGGAAAGAATGAACAACCTTTTCAGTTATTGCTTTTTGTGTTTCTGGAACGTTCAACTGAAGGATATCTCCTTGACTCGAGGCCTCATTGAAAAGGTCGGTGGATTTCATTTTACCAACCACAAACACCACTCGAAAATGTCCAGTCGTCTGCTCCCGAATACCTCCCCATGTGTCTCGAACAGCGTCTCTCGCTTCCTTGTCGTTCACTGGACTCATAACTAAGATGATCAACTCTGTGTGACCGGAAGTAGTGTTGCCGTCATATTGCTTACAAACATTTGTCGGTTCTATGGTTGGTTTTCCCACAAACTTGTTACATCCGTTGCACTCTGTCACATACCTCTTACTCCATGTGAACTCCAACTGGGAGTGGCTTTGGAGGAGCATCAGTACTAGGCCTGTCACAACCGATGTCAATACAAGGCAGAAATTCCGGGGACATTTTCCCATCGTTTTCAACATTGTTGAGTAAACACATCGTAAAAGCGGAGAACTGCGAAAGAAGATATTTGATTTAAGTATATTAATTATTAACACCACTGTAGATAATTATTTGCTCCGTCTTCTAGAATATCTAGCTGTTTAAAAGTCCTCCAAAAATATGTAGATTTTTATTCAAACAATTTATGCATTATTGATGAACATACACATGTAAAACTGTGCTTGCCTATACGAGATATGTGGTATTATAGATGCTATCGTATGTGATATCTTATAAAAACTTCCAGCCTCGGCACTAGATAGAGATATCATATATAGAGACTTACAGCGTGTGAATAGCCGACCAGTCAGTATAAACTCACACATAGTCCGGAGATTTATGGGAGCTGGTCGTCATAATGGGTATAATCTGAGAAGTGCCGTCATTGTTTTGGAACTCCACTCCTTATCGACGTTATGATATCTACTACCACACACAGTCCCACTCCACTGATGTCACCAGAGATTATCACAAACCAGCAATTAGTCACACCAATGTACAGATTACAACCTGTCAATCATAATAACCCGTGTACGTATAGCCGAATTCAACCGTGCTATAATACACATGTCCACTGCGTTGACAGCGCATGGATAACTACAATGTACATGTAGGACTGACACTCATTCATTGATAGTCTCATGGTTTACACCTGGAATAACACTCATGTCTAGCAGATGTTGAATAATTGAACTACGTCAAAATTAGATAGGCGTTCTCCGAGTACAATCGGATTGAGCCGTATCTTCTTTTTCTAATTAGTAAGAATCAAACCGTACCTTTCCTTTCCTCGGAACTAACATACCAACTTCTCTTTACCAACCTGCTAAACAGGTACATGGCTGATGTACTATACCTTAATTCTCAGGACTGTTTAAGTATACGTGTCTTGTCGACCAGTAGACTTTATTTCCGGAAGGCATGTATCTTATATCATTATTGACAGAAGGCGTGTATCTTATATATCATTGATGACAGAAGGCCTGTATCTTATATCATTGATGACAGAAGACCTGTATCTTATATCATTATTGACAGAAGGCGTGTATCTTATNTGTGATAATTGCAACAGCAAACTATCTGTTAACAGTGTATTAAAAATTGACTATTGCGATTTGGACCAAACGTCCTCGGCCGTTCCGCCTGACCTCCTTATTTTTGTTCTGTGTCATTTCAATGACGCGAAATCGAGAGAGATCATACGACAAACATGGGGAAGTGCACGAGAACAGCTGGCAGGGAACTTCAGAGTGGTGTTTGTGGTCGGGCAAGGGACGTCGGCTAAACTGTCATCCGAGCACGCGTCTTACGGCGATATTTTACAGGTGGATGTCCAGGAGAAATACAGAAAGCTGACAGAAAAGGTGACAAGGGCCTTTCTCTGGTTTAACGAGCGATGTCACAATATCAAATATGTGTTTAAAACGGATACTGACGTTTTCATAAATGTACCTTTTATATTTCGAATAATTCAAAACCATTCTTTGAAGAACATAATAGCTGGAAACTGTTTTCGATCCTTTGAAAAACCAGACAGACGAAATACTAGTAAATGGTACGTTTCTGAGCGGGAGTACCCGGGATCTCGTTACCCTCCCTATTGTAGTGGGTCTGGGTATCTAATGGAGAGAGCCACGGCCTCCAAACTGTCAGGAGTGTTCAAGGATACACCCATGTTCCCCATGGAAGATGTGTATATGGGATTCTGCGCACACAAAACAAAAGTTGATGTGGTGAAATTTTCAGGGTTCCATTTAAGGAGCATCGGTTATGATGAGTTTCTATACTGCCACTGTACAGGTGTTGTACACAAAATCAGTTCTGGCAAGCAACGAGAGATATGGAGGCGGCATGAACGCTACTGCGCACACAGATGGACTCAATGGTCCGGGTACCCCATCACCTGCCTTTTTATGTTTTCACACTATTTAATTATACTCCTGGCGGTCGTAACGTTCGTTATTATTTTAATCGGAGCTGTGATTTGTAGGAGAAGATTAAAATTTCGCAAGAAGTAACCTGATATGTGATATATGTACCCGGATGTTTTTACATTTTGATCTACTATCTATGTTTGTTGGTGCTACACGTTTCTCGTTTCTATTACATTGTATTATATTTCAAAGAAGATTCTAATGAACGTGTTACATTACATCTCGCTCCACTTCCACCACCGACGTCAAACAAATCCATACGGTGAACTTCTTTTCTCCTGTGTGATGCCTACCACCACAGAGTACACTTGTATTACAGGAGTACTGTTTAATGTTTTTTGGTGAAACGAAATATAAACCGATAACCGTCACATCACTGTTGGTCTGTGAGACCTGTCGGGGAAGAAATATGTACCAAACAATAAGAATTGATAATGCAAGGGCTGAATATGAATAAAGGAACAGCTACTAGGAGACACGTGAGCACTAGCTAAGTGTTCCGGAAGGGTAACCGGTGACGTATTCCGCTTCAACGGCGACGCCCTCCATGTAAATCTAGGTCAACCGAAGTTGTAGTAACAACACAACCACAAGGCAGCAGTCCGTTGTGTTACTATTGTTTGTGAGAGTCCATTACTGTATACTATTGTCACTTTGTGAAACCATCCGGTCGAACGCATTAATAGGTACGAGACAAAAAACTTTGACAATTTTTAACCGTTTGAAATTTTCGCCGCTTTTTGCCGAGTACTGGCGACATGAAGAGACATCTCTCCGACATGAAGAGACATCTCTCCGACATGCACAGATATGTGTTGGAGTCCTACCCGACACATACAGAGTTGTGGCGAGTTATAATTCTCTACATCTCGTGACTCGACCTCGTGACAGAGTGAAAGGGCCTTAAATTATAGCCGATTGGATGGCCATTTTGAACATTGTTAACACATTTAGTTTACACGTACATTCAATTCTTTTATTATCGTAATCAATACAGTTTATTGATATTGCATTACATGTATTATGCACAATACAATGTCATACAAAGTCAAGTTCAAGCCATACACTAATAGGTATATTCACTCATTTCATTGACAATTATATTAAAGAGGTGTGTCCTAAACCGCAGTCGATTCATACCTTCTATAATCACCCAGGTATATGTAACGCTTAACTTGTCCTCTGTCGGATGAAAGTCACAGAGTACGTATCGTACTACAGCCAAGGACACTTCACACAAATATTTCGCTGGCTGTGCTTTGTGAATCCGTATACAGTAAATCTCTGAACTCGATCGGCTAGTTTACATGAACGTATAAAGTAATTCAATATGAGCTAACTCTTTACGATATATCATTCTTGATTCAAGATTCAAATTGATTATTTAACATTGCATATTTGTAAATATTAACACTGTTATGCTTACGACAAACACTGCATACATGTACCTACATAACAAGTATATAAAGAGAGTTGTGTTTTATGTTTTAATTCAATGTTTATCCTGTATCATTTCAGAATCAACATTCATATATTTAATCTAATATGGCATGATTATAACGATAGATTTTCCCATTGTTACGAAAAATATTGGATATGTAATAGAGGTCAGTGTATTTTCAAATGCCTTGGATAGGAGTCGATCCCGGAACGTCTGTTTAACTAGCCTGACGCTCTACCGAAGGAGCCAAAGGATGACACACGGGGTGACACACATATATATAACAAGTATAACACAGTATTGAAAATTAAAGATAGCTAGATTAGAAATAGCACACGTCAATAACAGAAGGCAGGAAACACGCAGTAATAGATTGTCAAACAAGCCAACAAGTCCTCACAAACATATAGTCCTTAGAATTCAAATTATAAAACGAGATTTATACAATTATACTATTGAATACTCGTATACCATGCAGTTTATTGTTTGAAGGTTAGGGGTCAAACTAGTGTTGTGTAACTGTATACACAAGGCTAATACAGCCAATGGGTAAATATTGACAGGAGATACACTAACACAGTGTGAATCACAAAGAGGGGCAATGCTGCTTATTGGAATAAACTTTATATGGATAAAATAATAATTCAAGAGCATGTATATGACTTCATGCTGCGAAGATGGCACAAGTTAATTAAAATATAAAAACAAAACAATACAATCACACACACAAACATATATGTGTCTATGTAAACATAAAATATACACATACAAACAATGAGAAAACAGGAAAAAAACACCATTGTAATTCTACCAAGAGGCCAATGACCATATTAACTCGCGGATGTTAGACATTCTGATGACCTAAGTCTACAACTGAATGTATCACGAATAATATACGATAACATTGCTTTATACTTAATTGGCAAACGTGGAAGAACACTGACAATGCTTATATTATGGCATCCTTTATTCAACATCTGGAATGTACACAATTATAGTAACCGGTAACCTTTCCTAGCTCCGTACATAATTTGGAGCATCTAAAATGTATCAATTGTATTCGATCTTTTGAAGGGAGAGTACGCTATACTACTCGTTATTTAAGTTTTTTGTTGGTGTGGAGCTGTTTATCACAGACAAACTTATTAGTGCCAGCATTGTATCATTATAAAAATATATGTTTGGCAACTCTAAAAATAGAAATATGTGAACTCGAGCACACACTCAAAATACATCTAATCGACTGTAGAGGGTTGAAACAATGGCACGACAGGTTTACGTGTGAAGGGAGGTAATTCCATTATAAAAACATCAAGTTCTCTCCCTTGGATGCTCATCTTTTCAGTACAAGTATACGAAACTAAATGGCGAACAGATCCAACATTAACTCAAATCGACCTGCCGAGGTTGACACAGTCTCCAGACTGTTGATATAGAAGAATGTACAGACGCCTTAATATGCCATTTTCTAACTGTTGATAGCTATTTTATTTTTTGATTTTGACATTCCAATGATTTGGTTGCAGTGGTTCATAATGATTTTAAACCCTCAATAATTTCCTTATAAATATATGTTTTCATATAAAATTTATTAATTATGTAATTTATTGCTAAGTTATACCCCTTCATGGAGGATAAATTGGAGTTGTTTTAATTAGATATACTAGCGGAAAAAAGAAACTGTGCATGCGGTGAATTGTTATAGAACTTGTATTACCAGCTGTATATACATGAAAATTCACACACATGACCGAGTATGACACATAAACACTATCCGTGTGTCATCGACAGTTTTTCCCGTGCAGTTTGCTCTCTATAGGCGTTGACCAGTTTGCACGTTTTTCTCGTCCAGCCATCCAATTCGACAATGAAAGTTTATTTTTCAACTGTTGGGTCACTCTGACAGTAAAAACAGCATTATAACGTTTTAATTTGTGATTAATGCTATTCCGAGGCTCAATGGTATGGGTCAAGCCGTTGTCTCTACACGTTTTCATGTCCATCGAAACACAATCTGGGATTTGTGGAGACGACATCAACAGTTTAGCCACGTCGGCGATCGACCTCGTGCGGGATGTCCACGTGTGACGTCACGTCAACAGGACAACCATATTCGGCTTGTCCATTTGAGAAATCGCTTCCAAACGTCAAGTTTGACTGCACGGACAATCCCTGGGTTGCTACCAATAAGCCCGACAACTGTACGGAACCGATTGCATGAACGAGCTATCCGTCCGCGACGTCCTGCAATCCGCCCAGTTCTTCTGCCACATCATCGTGTAGCGCGTCTGGACTGGTGCAATAGCCATCTGCGACTTACTCGATGGGATTGGGCAGGCATTTTGTTTAATATAAACTTTATTTCATTCCAAATTAAGTTGCATTACATCACATAACATACAAAGTACAGAGGAATGGGATCCGGAAACAAGTTATAATAACTTATATAAATCCGTTTCCGAGATGGGATTGGGCAGGCATTTTGTTTACGGGCGAGTCGCGAGTCCACCTGGATAGTAGTGACGCCATTCCAGGTAGTATTGTCGCGTTGGGGAACGTTTCCGTGACGCGTGTGTGGTACAACGACGTTCTTTCGGCGGAGGAAGCGTTATGATTTGGGGCGGCATTACAGTCAACGGGAGAACGTCTCTGGTGGTTGTTAACGGGAATTTGAACGCGCTACGTTACCGTGTCGAGATCCTCCGGACCCACGTCGTTCCATTCGTGCAAGGGCAACAACGTCACATTACGCTACAGCAGGACAACGCCAGGCAACACACAGCTCGTGTCGCTGTGGAATTTCTGGCCCAGCAGAACGTTGACGTGTTGCCCTGGCCTGCTGTATCCCCCCGATCTGTCGCCCATTGAACACGTTTGGGATGAAATGAAGCGCAGATTACGGGCATTACCTAATCAACCGGTGACGTTGACTGATTTGGCGGCAGCGTTGGTACAGATCTGGAATGCCATCCCACAAGCATTCTTGAACCGTCTGATAGGCTCCATGCGTCGACGTTGCCAGGCTTGCATTCAGGCAAACGGTGGACATACGAGGTATTAACTTTGTGAACTCAGTATTGACCCCTGCTGTGTTTACGTCACTCCTGAGCGGAACTTATTGATTCCATAACGTGGAAAATGGAATGCAACTGTTAATAAATAACAAATAAATTGTCCCTGAAAACCTTGTTGTTCTACGTCATACACATTTATTTTTATAACACATTTTAGGCATGCACAGTTTCCTTTTCCCGCTAGTATACATGTATATATCCGAATGGTAACATGGGGTCAAAATGAGATGTTGGTAACCTTCTTACATAGTATAATGTAGTTTTAAAAAGACGATAAGAGTAAAATAAATTAAACTGTTTAAACTCATATAAAAGAGTACTTCTAAACATTTTCTTCAGGTTGGTTAAGTATGGATTATGAACAGTTTTTTAAACAACCATTAAGATTTGAAAGTGTAAAAAGAACTTTTCTTAATCGTATAAAAGAGATTCATATAAATGCATAGAAAAGTAACAAAGTCTTAATAACCTCATTGTGACCCCAATACTATTATAATCTTAGGACTACGGCAAGAGTGTTCGTGGGTGTTTTTCAGGTTAGAAAATAAAAACAATTTTAAGGTAAATAAGTCCTATACAAATGTAGTTAGAACATTTATTTCTCAATGTTCAGTTGTAAATGTCGACTAAATTGAAAATAATGATTTAATTTTATTTTTTTAAATTGTTCAATGATTCCCCTATCGAATTCCTCTTTATTATATTACATATATCTTAGGAATGAGGGACTAACGGTTTCCGTCGTTTTTGTAAAAGGAACATGTATCATCCTTTTATTTACCTTGTTTTTAAATAAATGCAATTTTGAAGTATTAGACCTACTTCATTTTGAGTCCCAGATACCTAGTTGGACCTTAAAGGTGGTTTCATACGTGCAAAATCATAACAGCTCTTTTAACATTAAGAACGAGAATCCGAAATCAACAGACCCTAAAACTGCCTTACGAACACGTATTATTTCCATTCACTTGAGAATGGCTGACTTTTAGGACCAAATGTAAAGATATGTGTATGTATGTGAGTTTCCCGCTGTACCACATACCGACGGAAGCATTAGAACATATATAATACATTTATATAGTCGACTGAATACACATGGAATATATCAGGTATAACCTTTTGTCTATTTTGAAAATATTAATATCATTAAACTTGAAGACAAATTTTCGTTCAGCAGTACACGTACACCGAACGTCTAACTTCAATATTAACCTTCGTGTCCTCTTCAAACTGTTATAGCATGTATACGGTATAGCCAAAATAACACGGACAATAGTACGGTATAACGACGGTAGTACGACCCACAGACAATACGTAGTGTCAGACAGGCTGGACTTTAATTGGTGATAACAGATAAGGGGTGGATATGACGTCACGTACCCAGTCATTTGACATCCATAAAGATACCTATCAAATAGTTAAATACACGTGTACTCAGGTTTTTATGAAACATTATTAAAAACGTATTATGTTGTTGTTATCGAGGCATGCCATCACTAATTTATGGTTTTAAATAAACATTTGGT